TGCTATGTACGTTAGAACTATGAGAACTACTTTGTTAACTTTTTTTTTTACATTTATTCATTTTCAAGTCTTTTTGCTTTTAAAAATGTTTTTGCAAAAAACTTTTTTTGTTCATACTTATATAATAGGAGTTACTAGAGATAATGAACATAATAGCAAAATGTATTTAAAAACTTTAAAAAAAAGTTTTAAATGGGCTCCTAAAAATTTCCTTGAAGAAGTTCAGTAAGTTAACAATGTACTAGTCCACAAGCTTTTAAAGCATCATCATTAACTTTATCATGAAATTTATGTTTATCGGTTTATATAGGTTTATCGGTATATAGGTTTATCATGAAATAAACTATCGGGTTTAAATGCACAATTTGAAGAACCAAACAAAAGTGCAGACTATTTCAATGGGGAATCAACCAAATATTTTATATTTGAATATTAGTATTAAGACTTTATTTTTTTACATAAAAAACTTTAAAAATTAAAAAAAAAAAATTTTAATAAATAGCAATTAGTTTTCTCCTGTGCATTGATAGAAAACAGTAAAGTTTAGCAAAAACACGTTAGCGTCTTCTAAAGTAGTAGGACGGGCTTATAATTTTTCTCTTTGTTAAGTTTCAGACCATAATTTTTTATTCAGTCCATCCACAGCTAATTAAGACTAATTACCTGAGCACATTAATAGCATAGCTATCTTGATATGTGTGCAACAAATTTCTCCCGATGTTTTAATGTTTTTAGAAGTTTTAAGCTTTTTTAAAAATTCTTTTTCTTTTGTTTGTTATAGTGTATAATATCTTTACATATGTTATGTATATAATATTTATAAAACTTCATAAGTTTTTATTTATTTGTTTTGAAAGATTGAAAAAAAATTAAAAAAAAAAAGTCTGGTAGTAGGATTCAAACCACGGCTCTTTGCTATAGAAACTCTGTGAGCTAACCACTCAGCCAAACAGGCATGTTGTCTAACGAAAACTTTAAAATTATTTAACAAACAGACTTAATGAAAGAAAAATGCTGTAGATCAAAATTAAGGAGATGTTGCCGCAATGCAATTTCAAGTGAAAGTAAAACTGAACAACTTGATATGTTTTAAAATTGCATAGTTTAAAGTTTACATAAGTTAGATACACTTTTGTTCACATTTTCTTATAACTAAAAAATTCTCAGTTGCATTGTTATATATCTAAAAAATTATCTCAGTTGCATTGCTATTTTTTTAAGAAAATATTTAAGAAAAAGTATATAATATAAATATATTTGTAAGATATATAAGTAAACATTAAACATCAAAAAATTATGCAAACTTCTTTGTTTTTGCAAATAGCATTGTTTTGATTATGTCTTAGCAGTATGACTTTTTACTCTTTATTTTATTCCGAATTCTCTTGTAAAAGATTTTCACAAGGGGTATCTATACTTTTTACCAAGAGGTAATTGCTTTTTTTTAGCTATTTCTTAATGTTATTATAAAAACATTGCTTTTAAAACACCTTAGAGTAAAACTTAAATTAGTTCAATTGATAATTATTATAAATTTCTCTTTTCATTTATTATTTTTATTGACTTTAAAAATTTTAGGGAAACATGTTTATAACTTAATTTAATATTTTATAAATTGTTTAGAAATTTTTTGTATGTCAAATATTAATTAAATAAGCAAATTTATTTGACCAGATTTATAAAATAAAAGCTTGAAAGCTGGAAGTTTGTATTTGTAAGAAAACAAAATGGCATTAAAATAATGTTTTAATACAATATCTCAATAAATAATTTTTTTTAGTAAGATTAATTAACTCAAACCATATTTTTGTAAGTTTATTTATGAAATGAATTCAACTTATTATGACCTTTTAAAGAGTAAGTTGCACTCACCTATTTCACCAACTTTTTAAAGGAACAAACTTTTTATAACAGCTTTTAAAATTTTAAAAGTATTGACATGATCCAATTAATCAGATTAGATAAATTATGCGTACACTGATCTTAAAAAAATAATTATATAAATAACAATAAACATTGTAAGAGATGAATAACTAATTTTAAATAATACATCCTTATGCACCTAAACTAATTCACAGTTATTACTAATTTTTTTTTTTTTTTTTTAATTTCTTTTCCTTGAAATTGATTTCTTAAAACAAAGTAGTTTTTTAATTTATACTGAATGTTGCAGTTTTTTTACACTGAAGGTGAATACTTTGCAGTTTAGATTTCAAGTTCATAAATTGAAACACTCAACATGGGGAATAGTTCATATTTTATATAAGATTTATAAACATATATTGTTAATAAGATTTTAGTATATTTTCAGGTTAAATAAAAGTTTACAATTATTCAGGTTTTGAGTTAATGTTTACTTTTAAGTAAATTTTAAATTCTTAAACTTGTTTTGATATAACATTAAATTGGATATAACAAATTTTATTTGTTTATAATGTGGAAAGGTCTCCCTATTTTTTAGCTTTTGTTTAGCAGGGATGCGGAGTCTCAAAAAGTACTCTGGATTTGAAAGTCATAAAAAAAATACTTCTTCCTAGTTTTTGGTAACCAGGAGCTTTAAAAATATAAAAAAACTTGTGGGAAAAAAATCAAGGCTTTTAGCATAGAGAAACAAAAAATTTTTGAGCTTAGAGTCTTTACATATAATGGCGGCAAGGACTCCAGGACTCCAAGCTTAAAAAGTATAAGTTCCAAGTCAGTAAATATCATAATTTTTTTTTTTATGGCAGATAATAAATCAACAAATATGTTTAGAGCTTATGAACACCAGAGACTATGAAAAAATAAAGATATAAAGCCAGGGTCTTTTTGGGACTCCCTGTTGTTTAGTAATTTATTAGAAATATTTTTTTTTTTAGGCTAGCTGTCCAATATATATAGTTCATGTTATGAGTAAAAGTGCTGCTGAAGTTATTTGTTCTATGCGTCGAAAAGGTTTTAACTGTTTTGGTGAACCAATTGCAGCTGGATTGGGTGTTGATGGAACTCATTATCGCCACCGTTGCTGGCGTCATGCTGCCGGTGAGTGTTTATTGAGGGCTTTTTAATTTCATAAAGTTTCAATTAAAGTATTATATACTAAAAATAAAGATACTGCGGAGTTGATATAGTTTTCAGAATATTTTTTGTAATCCTGCAATAGTGTAAACAGTTAATGAAAGAAAAAGTATTTTTCCTTTAAAGAATTTATCAAATTTATTGTGCAAAATTAGATTTTGGCCTCTATCATGTTATAGATTTAAAAATGTTTTTTATTTTAGCTTATGTAATGGGACCCCCACTGAGACCTGACCCTTCAACACCAGGTTTTTTAATGGATTTACTTGCAAAGTAAGTTTACTAAGTATAAAAATTCATTTTTGTATACATAATAGAATACTAGTGTTGGATTTTTCAGTTGTTAAGAGTGACTTGTTATTTTATTTGAGAGCCTATATTTAAAATAGAAATTAAAAGAAATTATTACAGAAGTTATAAAAAACATTTGGCTTCAAAACTCTTTCTATCTTTTTAGTAAAGCAAATTAATATTTTTTTTTATTTCTGAATCAATTTTTTTTCTAATTTTTCTAAAAACTTTTTATAAAAGAGTAATTTTTTTTTGTACACAACATGGACAGAAAAAAAATTTCAGTTTTTTTTTAATTTTAAAAGTTTAAATTTTTTAAATCAATATAAATTTACTATTATTATTTAATATGATATATATATATATATTATATGATATATATATATATATATTATATATGATGTATATATATATATTATATATGATGTATGTAGTATATATTTTTTCAAATTTTTTAATATAGTAATAAGTCATAAAATAGTAGAAATGTCATAAAAATTATTTTTGTTTGTATTCCTAAGAGCCAAATGTTTCAAAAGGATTCATAAAAAGTTTTTTTTTTTTGTAAGTATTTTTACGAACCAAATGTTTTCAAAGAGTATGAAAAATGAAAGATTTTTCTGAGCATTTAATGAGAAAAAAATTAAATAGTGATTTTTTAACAACTCTCAATTAGGTACCAGCAATTTTTGGTATTAGGTTGCTTCAAGCTGGAGTAGATATAAAAGCAAAAGTAAAAAAAAAAAAAATGTAAAGTTAACTAGTAGCTATCTTATTTGAAAAATCAGTATAAATAAACTGCTTTGAAGACGCCATTTTTTGTAGAGTACTAAAAAACTTGCTCATTAATAATAATTAAATGTAAACAAAACTAAAACTTTCCAGCGGTTTGTTATATTTTTCTAATAAAAGTACTCCCGCTTGAAGCAACTGATTTAAAAAAAAAAAAATGAAAATCGTTGGTGCCTACTCTCATTATATTTTTTTTTTCAGTATACTAAGATGCAGAAGCATATATAAGTAAAGATGCAGGTACTTAATTTTTAAAATATTGAAACTTATATCAAGTCTTTTATTTAGCGGAGATCTTGCTTGCACAGGCACAGATAATTGTACTTTTAATGCAGACCAAAAAGCACTTGGAAAAAATGATTTTAGAAACATACCAAATGGTGTAAATGGTAAAAAAGACTTATTTACTGGTGTAGTTTTTTAATTTGTGAGTCAACAAAATTTATTAACAATTGAAATGAAACTAATAAATCTGAAATGAATAATGAAATAGATAAAACATAAAACTAAATTTCTTATGTTAATTTATAGGTGTTGAAGATCGTATGTCTATTATCTGGGAGAAAGGAGTGGTATTTATTCTAATTTTTATGTAATTCATGTGCCAACTGATAACTTAATAATTAACTAGTTTTTTATTTAGTGAATTTCTATTTTCTAAGGTAAAAATGAACCTTTAAAAAATCAAGAGTATCATGAAATTATTAATATAATAATAAAAACTCAAAGGTTTTAAATACATGTTTAGCATGCTGGTCGAATGGACCCTTGTCGATTTGTTGCTGTCACTAGCACAACTGCAGCCAAAATTTTCAACATATATCCAAGAAAAGGTGTAATTGCTATTGGATCTGATGCTGATATTGTTGTATGGGATCCTTTAGCAACAAGAACCATATCTGCTGAAACTCATCATCATGTAAGTACTTTTTTATAGGTACAAACTATAGTTGCTTTACTTCAGTTTTATTGTTATAAAAAATGTTTCAATTAAGTTGATTATTCTAATATTTTTTAGGCAGCTGACTTTAATATATTTGAGGGTATGACATGTCATGGCGTGACTGAAGTTACTATCAGTCGTGGGAAGGTTGTATACCGTCGTACCAATGGTGTAAGCATTGTTTATTTTAGTTAATTTTTGATTGCTTTTAAATATTTAAAGATTTTACTTGTTAATGAATAAAATAATTTTTTTGTAAAAATTTTAGTTGAGTGTAATGGGAGGTTCTGGTAAATACATCTTCCGACCAACATTTTCCCAATATGTCTACAATAGACAGTTTTTAAAAGAAAAGGTAATATGTTAATGTATTATAGCATAGTACATATATTTTTTTACATCACTACTTAAGTTAACATTTTATAATTTACAAACTAGGCTGCTGCTCCTACAAAAGTTGATAGGGAACCATATAATGGACCAATCGTAAAGCTGTGTAAGTTTAAATTAATTTTACTTAGTGTATTTAGTAATTAGGCCAATTCACAATTTTTTTTTTTTTTTTATGCACAATATTTTTTAGTTTAAGAACTTTAATACACAAAGACAATCAGCACTCAAGGTAGCATATTAATACCAGTATTTTGTTTGCACTTTTTTACTTTCTTTTGTTATATTGGTTTTTTTTTAATAAGTATATTCTGCATTATATTAAATATTTTCTATATTATATGAAGTATATTTTATATGTTATATGAAGTATTTACTAATATATTTTCTTAACTAAGTATTTGAAGTGCAGAGATTTAATACAGGCACTTTTTTAGAAGACAAAATAATTAAAAAATTTTCTTTCTGAAATCGATATTATTTATACCTAAGTACTGCTTGCCCGATCTTAAATGCTCATTGATAAATGTACTGAAGCCCCCAGGTATGGCTATTTTAGTAAGCGTTTCACCTGTAACTGGACTGAGTATGCACTTATTGATATGTATGTATGTGTGTCTATACATATATATATATATATATATATATATATATATATATATATATATATATATATATATATATATATATATATATATATATATATATATATATATATATATATATACACACACACACGCACATACACACAGACACATACATTAATTACAAGACTAGAATAAAATGTAAATTTTTTTCTTCTTTATATTCTATATAAGGTTTTTTCAAACATCAATCAAATACACTTCTTTATTTAATGTTCAAAAACAAACAGGAATATTGCCGATTAGACTTTAGCGAATTTAATAAAAAAACAAATTAGAAGACATGATTCTTACGGCTTAAGCTATTAAATGATGATTATCTTTAAAATCACGAGAGAAAGTTTTTAACCAGTTAGAATATCCTTAATCAAAGTTTTTTGGAGCATTTCGAGCACAATAAATGGAAGAAAATCTGAAAAAGCTCCGTGTTAGGTTTACTATCTTATCTTAATTGATATAGATGCATACAGAGTTTACTTCTGTCTTTAGTTCGATTATACTAGACCTATAGCCCTGTCACTTATCTTCAATTAAACTGATAATAATCAAAGAAACGATTCAAGTCAACAAAATTTTTTTATTATTACTAAAAGAAGCTATCTTTTTACTCCATTTATTAATTTTCACCCGTTATAAGAACTTTTTATATAGTACTATTTTTAAGTAACTTATTATTTCCGTATGTGTATTTTGTTTGTATTATAATTTATATCTTAAACTACTGAGTTATATATATTTTTTAAGCAGTGGGAAAAGATGCATTGCAAAACAAAAATACAAACGTAACGGCTCAAAAATCAGCCGATAGGATAAGTGATGATTCGGCTCATCAGCAATTTCAACGTAAGCATGTGAGAAACGCTTCTTCCATTTCATTTAGTGGTGGTAGTATTGATAACATTGGAGACGTTCAAATTCAACCAGTTCGTCGACAGCAGTCAAAGTCTAGCGTCGAATATAATGATCAAAAAAAAGAAGACAATAGTTCTTCAAAACAAAATTTTCAGTCTAATTCAAAAAACACTCCAGTTCAGGTTTCTCGACAGTCTAATGCCAAAAACAACCAAGAAAAAGATGATATGTTAAATTTTTTGGGTTCTTTAGGTGGAAACAGTAATTACAAAAATGATTTTTATAATTAATAATTCGCGTTTTGATATAATTTTTTTTTAACTTATTATAAATTTTTTTAATAAATTTGTAAATTTTTTTTCTTGCATTTTTGAACATTTTATAAAAAAAAAATTTTTCTGTATTAAAAAATTTTAAGTTGATATCATTTGTAATAATTAGCTAATTTATAAATTGTATTTATTTGTATCTATTTTCGTTTTATAAACATCTAATGGTGTCACCGGTGTAAAAAATATATATACTTACTTAATCTTGTTTAAAGATGCTAAATTAAAAAACATTGTAGTTTCAAAATTTTAGTTTCTAATCGAAAAGATTCGAAGATAATTTAATAGTAGTCTATTATAACGATGTAATCCAAAAGTTTAAAATATTTAGTTTTTATGTTGATTAAAGTGCTTCAATAAACATTTAGTTTTTGTATTTTTCAATCATCCAAATTATTGTTGTGTTGTTAAAAGTTAATATGATACTCTATCCCTGCATAAAAAATGAGGCGATTTACCTCTGTATAAAACTGTTAAAATAATTTGCGCCAAACTCTTGACATGTCAGCAAACGCCGATATCTTTTATTTGCAGAATGTGTGACGAATGAGCTGGTAAGCTAATTAACAAGATTTTATTAATAGAAAAAAGTACGAACTAATAGTAACGTGTCGTGTCCTACAACTGAAATATAATACTTACAATTGAATAGTTATAATTAGATTCATTGGTCAGTTAAGACTTAATAAAAGACCCGTTTACCAAGTTGACAATTACCATTCCCGTTTTTAACTCATATCCTTTTAACGGTAATAAATTTAGTTTTGACAAAATTATCGAAATCTTGACCGGTGTAATAGTTTTGAGCAGCTCACTTGCCTCAGAAACACAGGATCTGGGGTTCGAACCCCACCTGGGCAAGTTTTGCGACATCGGTTAGGAAGGAAGCTTGTTTAGTTCGTCTTTAAAAAGTAGCAAATTCAGTTTTGAAAAAAACGCTTTTATTTAGTTTCTAAATTACTAAGCTATTTTTCTTTGTAAAATTTTAAGTTCTGTTAATATATTAATTTTTTTGTATTTACAATACATTTCAAATTAACTTTAACGGTAATAAAAAAAATGTTAATCTAAAAACTATGCAATTTAAAGTACGACATTAATTACGTGGCTTACCCAGCTCGCACACAAACGTTGATAAAACGTTAGAACAGTGTTGCGCGTTGCGTTGGCCCAACATCAACCGCCAACGTTATTTTTATATCATTTTAGTTACAAATGCGACGTCGCCAACAACCAAAAAACAACGTTGATCCAACGTTGTATTTTAAGTCGGCATTGCGTAATATTTCACGTCGATTCAAATTTGTATTTTATGTTGGTAAAACATTGTATTTTAAGTTGATTTAACGTTATATTTTACGTTTGCACAGGTATATATTTAACTTTTATCAGAATTAAATTCATTTGCTTTTTGTTTTTGCATATATATGTAGATACACAATTAATATTATATATAATTAAACCCATGTATATACATATAATATATAAATATATACAAAAATATACATTCCAGCCATTATGATGACATTTAACATTTTTGATGACGCTTGTAACTACTTAGTTTAGCTGTTGAAATTGATGATCTGATGATGTATGATCTAATTGATGCACCAAATTATAGACTCATTATTCATATTTCGTTATATTAGAAAAAGAAAAATATATAAGCATAATATTTTTCCATATTCAACTGAATTATTTGAATGATAATTCTAAATTATATAAATATATATTTGAAACCTGCCTTTTTCTCGATGAACAAAACGTTGATCCACTGTATAAAATCTAACATTGTTCCAATGTATATAGATTACCGTTGATCCATTGTATATAATCCAACGTTGATCCATACACATTGGATTAACGTTAATCTATATACAATCGATCAATGTGGGGTTATACACATTTGTCAAAGATAATCCATATACATTGGGTCAACGTTGATCCCTATACGTTAGATCAATGTTGGGCTTAGATTGGAAAAACAACCAATATTTGCGATGTTTTTACATACGTTGGACCAATGTTATTTTGCTAACTATTTTTATCATGTTTTTATTAAGGTTTTAATAATATAAAAACGATAAAACTAACATTGGATTAACGTTGTATGTGCATCGGAGAAAACAGCCGACGTTCGCGATGTATTTACATACGTTGGCTCAACGTAAGTGTGCTAGCTGGGTTGCGATAAAAAGATTTTTTTTTTTTTTACTCCAGTCGGCTAGAGCCATGAAAAATTAATTAAACATTTTGTTATTAAAAGTAGAAAAGTGTTATAATTACTTATAAAGTGAAACAAATTTTTAAGAACTTAAATATTAAAAAATATATTAAGGTTTTTGTAATTTTTTTATCTTTTCCAAAACCCTATAGGAACTATAAAATTTTTTAATTTAGGACTTCTTCAAACTCTTCAAAGTACTGTTTAGATTATCAAGAGTAAAACTACTAAATAATGTTATGTTAACAATAAGTTCATCTTCAGGTTTTTTATTTAAATAAGTCGAAAAATAATTGCTTTTGTAAAACCTTTCATAAGCAACTGCTTAACCCCTGCTTATATATATATATATATATATATATATATATATATATATATATATATATATATATATATATATATATATATATATATATATATATATATATATATATATATATATATATATATATATATATATATATATATATATATATATATATGTATATATATATATATATATATATATATATATATATATATATATATATATATATATATATATATATATACATATATATATATATAGGGTCGATTAAGGTAATATGAACACCTTGGTAATATGAGCATACTTAAAGATTTCTTAGATGTTAAGTTAAAGTTGCTTTGTATTTTTTGAATCGACATTATGTAGTGATAACAGGAGGCAGTACAATTAGCGTAAATTTATACGCAGTAATTAGCGGGTATCATCTAATTAAAACGCTGTTAAATCTTTTGCATTGTTTAATTTTTTTTTTTGTCATTTAAAAATAATCTTTTACAATGTTTTTACAACATAAAAATATAACATTAAAGTTTCGACCGGAGCTGGCAGAAGACATGGTCTTATCATCCAGCCCCGTTAATATATAATTAAAAAATTCAGCCGATAAAAATGTAAAAGGAAAAAAGAAACTAAAGCAAGAACTGATTTAAAAATCAATTTGCTATTTACAGAAAAAAATAAAATAAAATTTATTTCTTCTCATTATTATTATTTTTACAATTCTTTATTTTATTCTACTTTTATTTTTTATTGTTAAAATGATACCATCCCAGTGGGCACGGAAGTAAAAAAGACGTCTTTTAAACGTCTTATACACGTTTTGGACGTCTTTTGAACGTCTTTTGAACGTTTTGGACGTCTTTTGAACGTTTAAAAAACGTCTTTTTTAGGTTCAGTGCCCACTGGGATCACGCATTAATAAATCTGTAACGCGAAGTTTTGGTACTAAAATAATGAAATTAATTTTTTCATAAAGAAAAATGTGTTAGCTAAAAACCCAAATCATTTTTGTTTGGAAAACAATGCATAGAAACATTTAGTTTTGACTCTATTTAAAGATGCCATTTTTGTGTAATATGAGCATGCTCAAACTACCCAGTGTTTTTAAGCAATTAAAACCACTGCTATTTTAAGTCCTAAAATAGCAGTGGTTTTAATTGCTTTTTGAATAAAAACAAAACATAGTAAAAAATTTTAATATTCTAACAATAATAAATATTTTTCTGTAATTTAAATTCAAAAAATCTGAATTTTTATCGTTCAAAGGTTTGAGTTAATAAAATTGAAAAAATAACGAACTAATTTTTTTTTTTTTGCTGTAAACATAGTATTATTTTTTCGACGAAAAGTGGTTCAAAATTTGATCTTCGAATGATAAGTTTTATTAATAACGAATCATTATATTCCAAAAATTAGTTCTAATTCTGAGATTGGTGTTTTTTTACTTAATTAATGTTATTATTTTTGAGTTAATTTAAAGTCGTCTGGATAATAAGAGCACATTTGCTACTTTTTTAAAACCACTGTGTTTTTAAGAAAAAAATTTCGAGTGCCCAAATATCTAAGTGGATCATGGGTAGGGATTAGGCAAAAAATTTGGATCCAACATAATTATTTTTGAAAATATTTCAATTTTCGTTTAAGGTGCTCATATTACCCCAATACCCATTACCCATTACCCCTATATATACATATATATATATATATATATATATATATATATATATATATATATATATATATATATATATATATATATATATATATATATATATATATATATATATATATATATATATATATATATATATATATATATATATATATATAGGGGAAGTGGGGGCATAACCGCCCCCGTAACGTTTGAATAAATGTTATATGAAAATAAAAACAAAATGTGTTTTTTTAGCAGTTTATTTTAATAGCCGCATCATTAAGCTTTAAATCGATGCATTTAAGAAAAAAATTGAACGGGTTTTGAAAATGTTTTTACACAAAAATAGACTTAGTGAAAAAAACGGTTTTGCCCCCATTGTGAGGCACAACCGCACCCTCACAAAAATCGTTGGGGGTTCACTGTTCTAGGTATATTTTCTTTACAATTGTCATAGCTCAGATTATTTGCTGATTTTGTTGCACATTTGTATACTGTGTAGGCATTCTTTGTACTTACAATCTCAGTTTACTTATTCGATATACTCTTAGCTTTATTTTAACTCAAAAACTCATTTATAAAAATTAAATAAAAAAATACGAAATCTAGCTTCTAACATTTCAAAACAAAACTTTTCTAACATCTTTTCTAACAAAAAACAGAACATTTCTAATAAAAAACAAACTTTTCTAACAAATAAAAAAACTTTTCTAACAACTTTTTTTCAAAACAAAACTTTTCTAACATCTTTTCTAACAAAAAACAAAACTTTTTTAACAAAACTTTTCTTTCAAAACTTTTCGGACAAAACTTTTCTAACAAAAAAACTTTTCTAACATCTTTTTCTCAAAACAAAACTTTTCTAACATCTTAAACAACTTCTATCATCTCAAAGCAAAACTATTCAAGTTTATACATGAACGCATTTAAATGTGACGATTGTAATTGTTGTTATATGTAATTACATAACTTTGATAAATAATAAAAGTATGCAGTTGTGCCTCCTGTGCGTCTATG